TTAAAGTGTTGCTTTCAAAGTAAAATATACACTTCTTCATGAGACACATGTCCAAACAAGTGTGACCCATTGGCTACTTCATAACCTTACTCGGCTAGCACTGTGGGCTTTGCCCCTGGAGTGAGAGGGGGTAGGTAGCCTGAAGGGGAAAGAAAAAAGTGACAAGGGGAAAATGTTGAGGTTCTGAAAGGGGTTTGGGAGTAACAATAAAGACAGAATAAAAATGCTTCATAAGTTCTATCAGGCCAAGCTGTGGCCAAATTTTAGTAAAGGTCAAAGCCCTATGCTCTTAAGTTGATTTTGGGGTGGGAGTTGGGAAGTGGGGAGAACTCTTTTCTTCTAGTTTCTTAGCAGAAGTCCCTTTTGAGAAACTTCATTCTTATATTGACTTAACAAGAGGGATAGGAATATTCCCAAACCTCAGTATACAAAATGCCTTACCTGTCATAAATATTCAGTTAACGTATACTTCACCTTCCTCTACCCCTATGCATTAGGCAGCACTAGATCCATTTCAGAACCAGGGAGAAAAGGAAGAATTATGAAGCCCAAAATGATGGATTAGCTATGACCATTTGTACTTTCTTACGGTGGCTCCTGCCACAGGATGTTAAGGGCCAGTTTTGAAATGTGAAAGAAAATCTTGATACAGTTTGATATGAAGAGTTGCATTCTAAGCTCTGAGGGATCACTGAAGGATGAACTATCAGGAGATCTGAAATTCTGTTGGTATTACCACTGACTGGCAAAAACATCATTTTTCTTTCCTATTTTTTGATTCTTGCTTGTTGTTAAAGTTTGCTTGTATTACAAGAATAGTGGTAGACCAGGAAATAACATATTTTCAGAATGCTCTTACTTCAGTATGTATGGTAGTAATATGAGGGAAAATGGAGACTCAGTAAATATAGACTGACTCAGTAAATTGTACTTTGGAGTCTTCATCTGTTTGTTTGCAAAAGAATTGCTAAATTATTCACTTGAGATTTGGAACTTAATACACTTTCGGGGCTTCATAGCAAATAAACTAATAAAACTGAAAAGCACATTAAGACAAAAGAACACTTAAATTTTATGCCATAACACAATCTTTCCATGAGCTTTCTACCATAAGAAGTAGATTTATAACTATCTTGTGAAATGCTTAATTCCCAGGGAAAGAAAAGTTTTTAGCCAGGGAAGTTTAGAATATCAATTTTATTATGTTTAACATTTTTTTGAAAGAAATGTGGGATGCACTTCCCATTGTTAGAGCTAATATTTACTGAGTACTTAGTGTAGGCCAGCATCTGTTCTAAGAGTTTCATGTATTATGCTGCTCCTCCTTATAACCACGAACTTGGGGCTAATTGGTCTCCATCCAATTTTGCATATAAGGAAATTAATGCACATAGAAATTATAACTTGTCTACATGGATTTGTAGTTGGATTTATTACAGAAATCTGCTTTATCATTTTACATCTCTCTTACTGTTGGCAGCTGTATACTATAGGACAAAGTCACCGATACTCTGTGAGAAAAAAAAGTGCATGGTCTTTGAGTGATGGTTAAGACACATAAGAACTGTTTCCAAAGGTTTTCACATCTCTAAGAATGCAAATCTAAGGCCATCCCTGAATTTTTAGCTCTAGAGCCACCAATTCAGAATTTCCTGTGTGTAATTAAGCTTACCTTAAGAAATGGTCAATTCCTTTGAAGCTGAAAATCCCTTTTCGGAGGTCTTGCTCCCCATCCGTAAATCTTTTCTGCTCAGAGACTTAGGGCTGGGTCACAGACCATCTCCAACATCTTCAGAATCTCATGGGATATTGGTCACAGGGTTGGGAAGTAGGTGGGATTTGGTGTGCTCCTCAGATATCATAGCTGGGATCTCAGGATACTGTTCTCTTCTGCCTGTTTGTCCTTGCTGAAAAGTCTGTCTCTCCTCCTCCCCCTCATAATAAATCTGTGAATTCCTTTAAGGCAAATAGTCTTCTTTGTCTTTTTCATTTTTGCTGCCCTAACACTGACTATAGTAATTCATTCATGTAAATGTGCTTGGGTTGAAATTTTATTTGTATTACCTCTAGTAATCATTTGAATCATAGAAAAATCCACATTATCATTAAGTTTAACTGGTCATTTGATTTTAAAGCATTTGACACAGAGATTGTCTTAGTTGCAGAGAATAAATTGACACAATTAGAGGTATCTAAGCAGTTTTGATTTTAATCTCAATGATTTGAAAGTATTTGTTAAATTTTGAATTTTATATTTTTGGGTACCTGAAGTAGCTTAGTTTTTTCTCTGGAGAAAACACCAGAATGCCAAGTCACAGTGTGTGTTTAAAATGTGTAAACGAGTTTTGAATGCTGTGAGTTCTGATTAACTGTTCGGTCACTTTGCTGTATTAGAAAAATTAAGTAGCGTGCCCAAGGTCATACACTGACAAATGTTAGACCAGTGATTAGATATTTCCTTGCACTGTTTTGCAGTGTAAATAGTGGTTGAGAAGATGCCAAGGTAGATATCTAGTTCATCTGAGACGTCAACTTTCAACTAGATCCTAGGAATTTTGCTCTACTTTTTGTGTTCCTGAACATTTTAAGGGTAATTCTTGTGAAAGTAGATACATACGTTAACATTCACATTTTCATAGACCAGTTTTCAATATGTGTTCTTACATTTCTAGCTGTGTTACCATGGACAGGTTAGTTAGTTTCTCTAAGCTTCAGTTTTCTCATTTATAAAATGAATATAATTCCTCTGTCTCTCCACCAAGATTTTTATGAGAATTATATGGGACAATATTAGTGCATGATATATATAGGCATTTGACAAGTATCAGTTCCCTTACCCACCTCTTGGGTTGTTAAGAATGGATGGAATCTTGTCATCATGGCATGGGAAATTCTTTATCTTCATACTCTCTGAACTTATATGTAGAAGTCCTTCAACTTAGTATCTGGCTGATAGTTTTTAAAACTAAATTTCGAAGGTATCAGAAAGACTGGATTCTGAAACAGAAAATTGTACTCCACTGTCAAATTTAGTAGTAGACTATTGTTTATGACCATACAGTTGGAAATTACTGAGCTTTATTTGGTACTTTATAACCTCTATCAAGCCAGATAGGGCTCTTAGGGTTACTTCTTATAAGGTGCCCCCAAATGTTACACAGTATGGGTATTATGGCCAAAAAAAGGGCATTATGGCCAAAAGAGAAAACTCACAAAGTTCTCTGACAAGAAGAACAGAAATTCATGAAGCCCCTCATTTTGCATCAGCCTATAGAAAGCATTTCAAAGCCAAGAATTTAGCTTAATGGAAAACTACCTTGTCCTGACTTTTCTCATTTAGCCTTTCATCAGGCTGTTCATTGTATGGGTACCTGAGGTGGGTATCTGGATGGGCATAGAAGATCAAGTCCAAACTCCCCTGCATTAACTGCACAGAGCCTTTTGAAGGATCTGACCCACTTACCATGCCTGCATGATCCCTCAGTCAACATGGTCACCTCCTGTTGTCTTTTACCTGTCATCTGTTGTCTTTCACCTCCTCATGGTCCCTTTCCTCTCTTTTTCTTTAGGAGAGGAATTCAACCACATCTTCAGTGAAGCACCTCTAAATACATAGCAGAATAATTAACCTAGCCACTGCCATCACTCTATCATTTGTGTTCCCTGTTACAGCGCTTATCCTTCACATTGTTCTTCTATATAAGACTCTTAGAGTCTCCTGAGGGTAGGGACCATGTCTGTCACCAGTCTTTCATTCCTTTATTCATTCTGTGACATCTATTCAGCCCCTGTTATGTGCAGAGACTGTGCTAGGTACTCACAATGGTGAATAAAAGCACATGTGATCACTGCCCCCCACGGAACTCAAAGGCTAGTTGTAAATACAGAAACAACCATATACACAGGTGAGCTACGGCTGCACCTGTGACTGTTGTTATGAATAGGAAGTATCTGGTGCAATGGGAATCAACACTAGGAGTTGACATGGGGAGGTTAGGGAAGGCTTCCACAAGGACGTGAAGTTTGAACTGTGGGGTACTGGAACACAGTCTCTCTGGCTTCAAGCCCATGCCATCTTGATACCTGCTCCACAGGCTTGGATTAATACATGCAAGATGGCGAAAGGCAGTGAGATTGGTTATGTCAATTTAAGTTGTTAAACATCAATTCCACTGGAACAACGATGTGAAACTGGGCAATTAGGAAGAATTAATAACCCAAAGAAAGCTAATAACCATAAATCTTCAATATGCTATTTCCTTTTACTAATCTAAATCTTATTTCTCAAGTGTGTATTTCTCAATTGAGAGTCACCAGTACAAAGTTACTGTACCCTACATCTATTTGCTACACTATTCTCACCTTCCTCAACACACACACACACAGAGTTGTATTTGTAGTCATATGGCACTTGTAGGCCAATACTAAAATGGCTTCAGGGCTCATGGCCTAGGGGATTCCACAGTCAGAGAGAAAGCAGATACTTACCTGGAACCAGAATTCTCTGGGCTAGCAGTTGTCCTTCTAGTTCACCTGTGTCCAGAGCTGTCCAAGCTCTTGAATTTACAAAAGAAATAAAAGGCCCTACCCCTGTTCTGAAGTTTGCTCTCTTTTTAGAAGCCATGTATGAGTGACACATTTGAGGAAAGCCATTCAAGACCCAGTATATTATTAATTGTTATTATTATTATACAATTATTATTAATTGTATTAACTGTATTAACTACATTAACTGTATTAACTACAATTAATAAATGGTGAGATGTGGAGGAAAGGTAACCCTTCTGCACTATTGGTGGGAATGGAAATTGGTGCAGCCACTATGGAAAACAGTATGGAAGTGCCTCAAAAAACTAAAAATAGAACTACTATATGATCCAGAAATTCCTCTTGGGCTTACACTCAAAGGAAATGAAAACACTACTTTGAAAAGATACATGCACCCCAATATTCACAGTAGCATTATTTATAATAGCCAAGATACAGAGGCATATATGTATATGATTGAAGGCAAAAGAAGGGGGCAGCAGAGGATGAGACGGTTGGATGGCATCACCCATTCAATGGACATGAATTTGAGTAAACTCCAGGAGGTAGTGAAGGACAGAGGAGCCTTGTGAGAGTTGGACATGATTTAGCGGCTGAACAACAACAATATATAAATATGTATATACATGCAATGGATATTAGCCATAAGAAGAATGAAATTCTGCCATTTGCAGCAATATGGATGGACCCCAAGGGTATGATGCTTACTGAAATAAGCCAGAGAAAGACAAATCCTGTATGTCATCATTTACATGTGGAATCTAAAATATGAAACAAGTAAATGAAAATAACAGAAACAGACTTACAGATATAGAGAACAATCGGTGGTTACCAGTGGGGAAAGTAGAGGAGGAAGGGGCAAAATAGCATAGGAGATTAAGAGTGAAAATTACTATCTATAAAATAAATAAGCTACAAGGATACATATATTATTAATATATTATATATATATATTATACAGAGAATATAGTCAGTATTTTATGATAACTTTAAATGGATAAGCTTTAAATAACATATAATCTATGAAAACATTGAATCACTAAGTTGTACATCTGAAACTAAAAAGACAATAAAGATCCAATATAATAAAGTGCTAAAATTGTAGGGGGAGAGGAGGTAGGCTCTCACAGAGGAAGAGTGCTCAGTTCAGACCACAATAGTCAGGACGACTGCAAGATGCCCATGGGCTTGAGTCATGCCCTGAAAGCACTGGATTAGGAAAAAAAAAAAGGAAACTACTAACATGTATTTTATGCCTATAATGTTCCAAGTACTATGCTAGGCAATTTTTTAGCTTATTTTGGTCTCATTATGGCCTTGCAAAGTATATCTGTACATTCATGGTTTACAGATGAGGAAACTAAAACTTGGTTAATGTTATCAAATATTGTCTGAGTTTCAAATATCTGTGTTATCAAATATTGCCTACCTCGCACAACTTTCTTTTTTAGACTTTTCTGTTTTCATACTTTGTTTTTAGAGAAACACCAAATTGATCATGATTGAAGACAATAAGGAAAATAAAGACCATTCCTTTGAAAGGGGAAGAGCAACCCTTATTTTTTCCTTAAAAAATGAAGTTGGAGGACTTATAAAAGCATTGAAAATCTTCCAGGTAAATACTCTCCATATTTTTGCATAAAACTTTTATGAAATGGGTCTATAAGATTATTTGTAAATTCATCATTGGTGGACTACAGAAATGTTTTAAGTACTTAAATTTCTAAAACATTGCTCAGTTCTATCAAATGGGCAAGGGATATAAACAATTTATAGAAATAATTTATTATTTAAGTAATAAAGAAATGGGGAAGAAAGGTTTACATCATAGATTTTGAAGAACCAAATTTTAATTTAGCTAAATAAATATTCAGATTTTAATGATATTATTGATATTAATATGTTAAATTATATTTTATACAGCAAAATAGCAAGGCTTCTACAATTATATTGCTCCCTACTATCAGAGCTTCAGTGCATTTGGCACTTAACTACACCTTTGGTGTGAAGGAAAATTGGTGTGATGTGTAGGGAAACAATCCGGCAATATGTATTGTGAGTCTTAAAGTGTTCACACATTTTGGCCCAGTAATTTTACTTTCATAAATCTATCTTAAGGAAATTGGGTCAGCCAGTCAGAACATGAAAATTTACAGAGTGCTAAGTGCACAGTGCCCTGCTAGATATAAAGATGTGGACCGGGGCAAAGCAGACACCGTGCCAGTCCTCAGAGTGTGTACAATCCAGTGGAGAAGACAAACACTAAACAATTACTTTTAGTAAATAAATGATTGTTGTTGTTTAGTCACTAGGTTGTGTTTGACTCTTTTGTGACCCCATGGACTGTAGCCTGCCAAGCTCCTCTCCCAGGCAAGAATACTGGAGTGGGTTGCCTTTCCCTTCTCCAGGGGATCTGACTGACCCAGGGATTGAATTCGTGATCTCTGCATTAGCAGGCAGATTCCTATCCGCTGAGCTTCTGGAGGCTCAGATGGTAAAGAATCTGTCTGCGGTGCAGGAGACCCAGGTTTGACTTTCACTTTTTTTCACTCTTTCAACCAATAGGGGGCAACCATTTTCAACTCTTGTAACTATATTGTATAGTATTAACTTCTATATTTATAAACAATATGTGTATTCTGCTGCTATTTCTTGATTTTTCCACCTGTAGATATTACCTATTGGTTTTCTCCAATGGAAGTAAACATTTGGCTTCCTTGGCACAACTCCCTTCCTAGAGGCCTGCTCAACTTCCCTTTCCCCCACCTTCCCAGTATAGTTATGCCCCAATTTTTGGCTATATCAGTCTTTAGTGTTTTCATTATTAAGATTATGTAAATCTTGCTCAAAGATAAGCCATATTATCCATTATTCTGACTTTTTGTTTCTTTATGTACCTAGTACAAGATTACAACATAGTGTTTAAGGGCACAGACTCTGGATTTGGACAGCCTGACTTTGAATTCCAGCTTGAACACTTACTAACTGTGTGCCTTTGGGCAAACTGCTTAACCTCTCTGTGCCTCTGTTTCTGTAATTGAAATATCTGATAGGGAATGTCTCACTTATTGCTTTAACTTTACTGGAATTTTCTTGGATCTTCTTGACTAAATTTTTCTCCTGGATGGAGTTTTAAATTATTTGGTTATATTTCCTTGCCCCATTCCATCAAGATTTTTATTTTAATAGCATTCAATTTTAGATTGATTTAGGAAGAATTGACATTTTGTGTCTTTTCCTCCAAAAACATAATTTATAGCTTTACATTTGTTCAAGTCGTCATTCAAAAAATATTTAGGAATGCATTCTTATTATAAAATTTGTAAGAAATAGATTCCGTGAAACTCTCCTTTGCTCCTGATCAGCTCCAGTATTTGTAGCTCACTTTCTTCTATTGGTTTCATGATAGATTCTCCATTCCAGGATGAACTCTGCCTATTCCAGTTCCCAACATCCCTGACACTCACTCTCTATTGTTATTTATCAAGTTCATGTTCCCTGATAATTATCTCATCCCTACTTTTGCTCATACAAGTACCTCTTGTTTGGAATCCTCCTTCTCCCCTTCTGTTTATTAAGACTCGCCTCAGTTCCTATTTACTTCATAGAAACTTTTACTTTCTCTAGCTTATGCTTCTTTTTCCATTTGTTGAACGTCTTCTGCACCTTAAGTCAAACTATTTGTATTTTCTTAGTCTTTCAGGCTCCCTAGGTGGCGCTAGTGGTAAAGAATCCACCTGCCAATGCAGGAGACACAGAAATGAAGCTTTGATCCCTGGGTCGGGAAGATCCTCTGGAGTAGGAAATGGCAACCCACTCCAGTATTCTTGCCTGGAAAATTCCATAGACAGAGGAGAATCCTGGCGGGCTACAGTCCACGGAGCCACAAAAAATTGGACATGACTGAGTGCGTGTGTGCATACACACACACACACACACACACACACACACACACACACACTTAGTCTTTTATGTGTTAGCCAACTAGATTGTCAACTTCTTGTATGTCTTGCCTTTCTTCATATGCTTCACCGCCCTTACCTGGCTACAAAGGTGTTCATGAAGTTAATTTAGATTCGACATGTTAGCATTGGAGAGCATCTACTCGTTCTCATTTTTTAGATGTTGGGTGATTGGTTCTTACGTTTCATGATTATGTCACCAGGGTTTTCCCTCAGCACCCAGATTGGTAACAGAAGATACCCTCCCTAGCAGGTTTACACATATGGCACCCACAGCTCAGGCTGCCCTGGGAAGACATCATAAGAAGCAATCTGATTCAGCTGGTTACTTGCGTTTGTAGCCTAGGAGATAGGAGGTATTAAAAATTTTGTGTTCAAGCTGTTCATCTAGTTTTAGTAAATGGATTTTTTCAAAGGAAACTTTTTTTCTGAAGGACTAAACACTAAGAAGACTTTTAAAAAAGCTAGCTTTTATTTGTGAGGATTTTCAAAGAGCTTTTCATCTAGAAGACTAGGTCTTTTGATTTGAATGCCAATCAGTTGTGGAAATCTGGGGGACTCCCTAGTGGGTGTTCATTTCATTTATTAGTTTTTGGAGGGTGTGATGAATTTTTCAAACTTAAAAAAAAAGTACCTAATATTTAGGAGGAATTGTTTTGCTGTTGGCAGCACTAAAAATGGACTTTCCCCCACATTGGCTACTATGACAAACTATGAGATTGATTTTTAGTGGCAATGAAAGTAATTTGCTCAGAGACTATAACCATTTGAGGCAGTCATGGATACTTCTTCATCTTCATCACAGGAGAAGCATGTGAACCTGTTACACATCGAGTCCCGAAAATCAAAGAGAAGAAGCTCAGAATTTGAGATTTTTGTTGACTGTGATATCAGTAGAGAACAACTGAATGATATTTTTCATCTGTTGAAGTCTCATTCTAATATTCTCTCTGTGAATCTACCAGATAATTTTACTGTGAAGGAAGACGGTAAGTTGAAAGGTGAAAATGCTACTCAGATGATTAAGTGCATAATATATGTGTCTGATCTTATGTTTATCTTAAAGGCATAAAAGTAAAAATCAAACACTGTCTCTTCAAATTGCTTACAATCTGATAATAAAGAAGATACAAAATGTAACTGCTCAATATGCTAAAGAAAAATTATAAAGCAACACTTTATCAAAGGCGGTAGAAGTGAAGAGGAAAACTTGAGTATAATAAAGAATTCAGAATAGCTAGAAATCCATTTTGTTATCTCAATTTTTAAATTGTCAGGCATTTCTTGGTTTGACAAATCTCAATTTACAATCTCTGAGCACTTAATAACTCTTACAGGGCAGATTCTTAGCAGATATTAAATGGATATTTGAATTTGCTGAAAATGTTGACAATTACTGATGACTATGCATGCATTGGAGAAGGAAATGGCAACACACTCCAGTATTCTTGCCTGGAGAATCCCAGGAACAGAGGAGCCTGGTGGGCTGCCGTCTATGGGGTTGCACAGACATGGACACGACTGAAGTGACTTAGCAGCAGCAGCAGCAGCATGATATGAAATACTTTATATGTGAAATACAATGTTCTTCCTTGCCCTCATTTCCACCAAAACCAATGGAAAAGCAGTAAAGCCCTCTAAGTTTTTAGATGCTCAGATAGCAAGGATATAGTCTAAAATCTCTATTGTGAAAAAATCCTTGTAATTTACTTAGGGCAAAAGACAAGCAAATAAATCAGTTACATTTTGTATATGGTATTCAATTTTAAATAATCTCTTCAGATTATGTAACAAGATTGGGGGTGTAATAAGCACTGATATGCATCTGTTATGTATTTGTATGGCTATGTGTGCTAAGTCACTTCAGTCGTGTCCCACTATTTGTGACCACACGGACTGTAGCCCGCCAGGCTCCTCTGTTCATGGGATTCTCCAGGCAAGAATACTAGAGTGGGTTGCCATTCTCTTCTCCAGGGGATCTTCCTGACTCAGGGATCGAACCCATGTCCCCTGCATTGGCAAGAAGATTCTTTACTTGGGAAGCCCTGGACTTTGGTTACCTCATCTATAAAATGATGAGTTTTATAGAGGCTAAATTGTTCAGTTGATATTTAGGGAACACCAGCTTGTGTCAGATATTTTTACTAAGAAATGGGGATATAAAAAAAAAAATCTTACCCTAGAGTCATTACAATTCTTTTCTGTAAGACAGCCATATACGGATTCATTGCAGTAAAACATAGTAAAAGCTTTTGGAGAATTAGAATCATAGTCCCAGGAACCCAGAAGATAGAGAATTAGCGCCACCTACAGGGTCAGGGAAGGCTCATTTGATTTGGGTCTTGAAGGAGAATATTCTCAGGAAAATTGAAAGATGAGTTGGATGGAGCAGGACTGGGAGTGGAATAGGTATTCCAGGGAGAAGAGCTTTAGGAAGGCTTGCATGTGTGAGGGATGGCAAGATCAAAGTGGCAAAGACATACATGATCTCTAGGATACTTTTAATCAACAAAAATAAACATTCAGTGAAAGTGAAAGTCGCTCAGTCATGTCCGACTCTTTGCCACCCCATGGACTATACAGTCCATGGAATTCTCCAGGCCAGAATACTGGAGTAGGTAGCCTTTCCCTTCTCCAGGGGATCTTCCCAACCCAGGGATTGAACCCAGGTCTCCCGCATTGCAGGCAGATTCTTTACCATCTGAGCTACACATTCAGAGTTTCTAATAACATTCAGAGTTTTTAATAATTTAAAAACATTTAAATTTAAAGACATTCAGAGTTTTAAACATTTAAATTTAAAAACGTTCAGAGTTTTTAATAAATTTGCACCTTGATCTGTAAAGTTCATCCTTATCTACTTTTTAAGGATAGCTAAAGATGTAGCTTAAACAGTTTTGAACTTTTGGTCTGTGACTAAAATACATCATTTCTCCAAGACTTAGGAAGTTAAGGCTCGAAACATTTTTAAATTCAACATTTTGAATGATATATACTTAGAATTAGAGCAACTTACTTGTTTACATTTTGCCCCGAAGTACAAGCTAAAATCAAAAATCTCATCCAAATGTATTTGTGACTTCCTTAATTTTTTCTTTCTTATTGTCTAATTTAAGAGGATCTCTTCAACTGTTAGTGGTTTTTGTATTTTGCAGGTATGGAAACTGTTCCTTGGTTTCCAAAGAAGATTTCTGATCTGGACCATTGTGCCAACAGAGTTCTGATGTATGGATCTGAACTGGATGCTGACCATCCTGTAAATATTTTAAATATAAAATATAAAAATATAATATTTTCATGAAAATAATTTAAAACAAACTAAAAAGTTAAGGGTATTATTTTTCTTTTTTAGAGAAAGTACTTATTCTAGACTAAATAAGGATCTTGATTAATCTGAGTTTCAGGAAGTGTTATTAGACCTGCATGTTGGTGGACTTGATACCAAGTGGCTGAACAGCGTCCAATTTCATTGACTCTACAACATCTGTCCCATGTCTGGGATTCTTAAAATTGAGAGCTCTTCCAAGAATTATACTGCAGTTAAGACCGTGTCTGCAGTTTCTATTAAAATGTCATACAGTATAGGTGTGAGTTGGAGCATTACTAAGTCTGGAGCATTAAGACTTCTTATGGATGTCTAGGATCCTAGGAGGGGAGGAGAGGAGCGAGTCTGCATTAGAGTTGTGCAGGCCAGGGATTTAATCTAGCTTCTATCACTCATTAGCTGTGTAAATGTGACCGTGTACCACTTTAGACAGCCCCCAGCTGATCAGTGAATTTATAATAATATCTTATTAGGTAAGCATTGGAATTAATAAATTCCCGTAACTGCCCTTGGGGAGCTTACAGTCTAGCTGCAAAAGTAAGCTGTGTATATATAAACACACATACAAGATTTAAATATGAAAAGTGTGCTAAGTGCCTTGCAAAGGCTGTTTTGAGATGTACACAGGGGAGGAAACACTTCTAGCTGAAGAGATCAGAGAAAGGCAACCTGTTAACTTGGTCTTAGAGAATTCTGGCAGGAAAGCGATGGGGAGAAAGGACAATTCATTGCAAAATGAGCAAAGATTCAAAGGTAAAAAAATCTGGGACATGTTTACGGAAAGGGGAAAGGGGTGTAAATCAGTTTTACTGACCTACTACCAAGGCCTGCTGATTTTCACCTCCTAAATATTTCTTAAATTTGTTCCTTGTTTATTCTTACTACCATATCCCTTAACTGATTTCCCTGCCTTCAGCCTTGCCACCTCCATCCTATCCTCCTCATAGTCACAAGAATGATCTAAAGCCTGAGTGTCACCGTTACCCCTCGTGTGCATAAGTACAGATCTAAGAAAATTGAAAACATAAGTCCATGAGAAAACTTGAACAAGGATGTTCATGAAAGCATTATTCATAGTAGCAAAAAGGTAGAAACAACCCAAATATCCATCCATGATGAATGGATAAGTTAAGCATGGTATATCCCCCAAATGAAATACTAATAGCCATAAAAAAGCGTGAAATACTCAACATGTTACAGCATGGATGAAGAACCTTGAAAGCACTGTCATAGTGAAAGAAAAGCCATTCACAAAAGGCCATATATTGTGTGATTTCTTTTATACACAATGTCCAACAGGCACATTCCTAGCAATAGGAAGTAGATTAGTGACTTTCAGGGCTGAGGGTGAGGGAAAATGGGAATAGACTGCAAATGAGTAGGATGTTTCTTTTTGGGGTGATAAAGTGTTCTGGAAATTATGGTGGAGGTGGTTGTACAATATCCTAAAACCCACTAAATTGTACACTTTAAAATGTCAGTTTTAAGGTATGTGATTTTACATCTTGCTAGTTGTTATTTTTTAAAAAATCCCAATGACTTCCAGTTACCCCAAGAGTAAAATCTAGGCTCTGAAACAGACCTTTATTAGCAGGCCTGTAGCTAGTCTTCACCGTGCTCCACCTCACTCTCTAGATCCAGCAGTGATGGGTTGGGTATGTTTTCCTTGGCACAGCACGCTAGTTTTCATTTCTGCGCTGTCCTTGGTGCTGTGCTTCCTGTCCCACACCTAGCCCTCTCACCTCCTCTTCTGAGACTCAGCTTAGGAGTCATCGCCCGGGACCCTTTCCTCATCCCCCCCCACCGTCCTCTTCACGTACTCTGGATTATGAGTTTCTCTTGTGAGTTCAAGTGGTATTTTGTGCCTGTCTCTAACAAGCCATTTATCATATTACTTCAAAATCATTGGTTAAAATAAACTCCTTGAATACCCAGATCGTACTGTGTTTTTCTGAATTTTAGCACAAGGCCAGGTGCATAGTAGGGACTTCTAAATCTATGTCAAACATACAAGTCTCATTCTTTCCTTTCAGTTGTCCTCCCCTTCTTCCCTATTTAGTTTTGTTGATTATTTTCTCTTGAGATTTGCTTTTTGATGCCTTATTTTGCCTATTTTTTCTTAACAGGTGTAAATTCTAATGTTACTATTTTGTCTATTTTTATTATCATTATTTGCTTCTGCAAATGATTAATATGTCAGCATTTTGCAATAAACTCTGAGGCTAGATTCAGCTGCCATAATATCAAGTATTAGTAATTACTACTTTGTTATTAATTACAGGAAAATATAACTGAAGATGTAGTTAAACAATTAAGAAAAAAACTCACTTTTGCAAAAGAGCCATGTAATTTAACGAGGGTGGTACTTTTCTTTTTCCTCAAACTATTTTATTTTTGTAGCTACTGTAGTATTTTTATATCCATAATATCTTTTATCTTTGCAGTCACTATCATATAAAGCTATCATGTAACAATGACTTTAAAATGATCATAAACTTCTAAACAGTGCTTGCTCAAAATAAGTTATACAGCCCTTCTTTATAGTCATTCACATAATAATGAAATGTTTTCTAAATCATTTGTCAAGTATATTTTAGTATGGATATTTAAAAACTTTTCTTTAATTATTAGGGCTTCAAAGACAACGTCTACCGTAAAAGACGAAAGTATTTTGCAGATTTGGCTATGAACTATAAACAGTAAGTGTACTATAAAAATAACTTAATCAACTTTGAAATAGTGAAATAAATTATGCTCATATAGTAAATAGAAAACAAAATATGTGCTACTGCTTATTGTATGCTAATTCAAAATGACTTCTTCTCTTTATCTCATTAGTGGAGACCCCATTCCTAGGGTTGAATTCACTGAAGAAGAGATTAAGACCTGGGGAACTGTGTTCCGAGAACTCAACAAACTTTACCCAACCCACGCCTGCAGAGAGTATCTCAAAAACTTACCTTTGCTTTCTAAATACTGTGGATACCGGGAAGATAATATTCCACAATTGGAAGATGTCTCAAACTTTTTAAAAGGTAATGAGCTAATTAATTTTTATAAGGGGAGTATTGAACTCTTTTTCAATCACAACAGAATTTTTAATAGAGGACTAACGTCTAGTTATATGGGAAGTCAGAATTTTTCTGTATTCTGTCCTGGAGAATTGGGCACCACGTTTGAAGCCGGATGTTCATAACCTGGAGCAAATGTGGAGGAAAGTGAGCAGAATTATAAGGGATAGGAAAATGTATCAGATAAGTAAAATTTGAAGGATCCTTAGGGAATCTGGGAATTTAGGGGAGTTTATAGCTTTATTTAAATATTTGAAGGTCATCTTATGTATTAGAGGGATTATTATACAGCTCTAAGGTAAAGGACAGTTGGATAGAAAGAGCAAACTTTTAGTTCGAAACGGAGAAAATCTTGCTAAAATAGCCATTTGAAATGCAGCAGGCTAATGAGATAATTAGTTCTACATGCATGGAAATGTTCATGCAAAAGTTCCATACCCACTGAGGGATGTGATAGAGAAGACTCAGGCACCTTCAGACAGGTTGGAGTAAATGATCTCTGAAGTCCCTTTCTACACTAAGATTCTATTGTTTTCCCAAGAAAGAAGATGTTTTAGGGGAAGCATAAATGAAGAGCAATGACAACTTTCCTCCTTTTAGTCCATCATGCTTACTTGGGCCAGGTTTCCTTATTTTTTCCTAGCAAAAGTAAGAAATAAAATGAATGATCAATGATCTCCAGAGTCTACAGTATGTAAGAGAAATAAATATCCCCTTTGATTTCAGCAGATTAGAACCTTAGGGGAAAAAATAGAAGTTATGTTTTTGACTCAAAGGGAGTTTAATGAAAGTGAAAGTTGCTCAGTTGTGTCCAACTCTTTGCGACCCCAAGGACTATAGAGTCCATGGAATCCTCCAGGCCAGAATACTGAAGTGGGTAGCCTTTCCCTTCTCCAGGGGATCTTCTCAGCCCAGGGATTGAACCCAGCTGGATTCTTTACCAGCTGAGCCACAAGGGAAGCCCAAGAGTGGGTAGCTTATCCCTTCTCCAGCAGATCTTCCCAAGCCAGGAATCGAACCGGGGTCTCCTGCATTGCAGGCAGATTCTTTACCAACTGAGCTATCAGGAAAGCCCCAAAGGGAGTTTATCTTATGGAGTTGAATAATATGTAATAGTATTTTCCAATCATAATAGAATTTATTACATTGATTGTTATAAACATCTACATATTTTTTCAACTCCATAACTCTCATTCCTCAACCACTATATACAAAACTAAGAACTAAACAGAAGATGGCAATATAGTTTTTACAAGGGAAGAACTCATGGTAGTAGTTCCTATGAAAACTAGATTTAAAAATAGTAGTGATTAAGAATGGCAGAGAACCAAAGCACATGAACTTGTGGGGCTTAACAAAGATAGACTAACATATGCTATGGAAGTTATTATCAAATCACATTTACATGAGATTTAGAGAAAATATTTTGTTATGGATATGAAACTTAAAGCTGATCACTTAGGGTCTGGAGCTTGAGCAGGCTGCAGAGCTTATAGCTTAAGATGTTTCAAGGGAAAGTGTCAAAGACAGAAACCAAAATTAAAAGTCAGTTCCAACAAAATGTGAGTTGGAAAGCGCTACCTTCCCTGGAAAATATGGTGGCCACTAGACAACTGTGGTTGTTTAAGTAATTAAAATAAATGTAAATCAAGATGTTAGTTCCCCAACCGCATTAGCCACATTTCAGTGCTCAGTGGCCACACATGGCTAGTGGATACCCTATTGGGTAGTCCACATAATGAACATCTCCATTTTTTTGGAAAATTCTTTTGCCCACCAGAGTGGGAGAATTCAAGTACAAAGGAATGGGGTGGAACTGGAATTACCAGAATGTGAGAACTGAAGTTGAAAGGTCCTAGGATGACCCACAAGACCTGTTAGAACTAACATCAAAACAAGATGTCCTTTTCATCAGAGGAGACTGGAATGCAAAAGTAGGAAGTCAAGAGATACCTGGAGTAACAGGCAAGTTTGGCCTTGAAGTACAAAATGAAGTAGGGCAAAGGCTAACAGAGTTTTGCCAAGAGAATGCACTGGTTATAGCATACACCCTCTTTCGACAACACAAGAGACAACTCTATACGTGGACGTCACTAGATGGTCAATACCAAAATCAGATTGATTATATTCTTTGCAGCCGAAGATGGAGAAGCTCTATACAGTTAGCAAAAACAAGACCAGGAGCTGACTGTGGCTCAGATCATGAACTCCTTATTGCAAAATTCAGACTTAAATAGAAGAAAGCAGGGAAAACCACTAGACCATTCAAGTATAACCTACATTAAATCCCTTATGACTATACAGTGGAAGTGACAAATAGATTCAAGGGAATTGATCTGATAGACAGAGTGCCTGAAGAACTATGTACAGATGTTTGTGACATTGTACAGGAGGCAGTGATCAAGACCATCTCCAAGAAAAAGAAGTGCAAAAAGGCAAAATGGTTGTCTGAGGTTGTCTTGCAAATATCTGAGAAAAGAAGAGAAGCTAAAGGCAAAGGAGAAAAGGAAAGCTATACCCATCTGAATGCAGAGTTCCAAAGAATAGCAAAGAGAGATAAGAAAGCCTTCCTCAGTGATCCATGCAAAGAAGTAGAGGAAACAATAGAATGGGAAAGACTAGCGATCTCTTCAGGAAAATTAGAGATACCAAGGGAACATTTCATGCAAAGATGGGCACAATAAAGGACAGATATGGTATGGACCTAATAGAAGCAGAAGACATTAAGAAGAGGTGTTAAGAATACACAGAAAAACTATGCAAAAAAGATCTTCAGGATCCAGATAACCATGATGGTGTGATCACTCACCTAGAGCCAGACAGCCTGGAATGCAAAGTCAAGTGGGCCTTAGGAAGCATCACTATGAACAAAGCTAGTGGAGGTGATGGAATTCCAGTTGAGCTCTTTCAAATCCTAAAAAATGATGCTGTTAAAGTGCTGCACTCAATATGCCAGCAAATCTGGAAAACTCAGCAGTGGCCACAGGACTGGAAAAGGTCAGTTTTCATTCCAATCTCAAAGGAAGGCAATGCCAAAGAATGTTCAAACTACTGCACAATTGTACTCATCTCACATGCTAGCAAAGTAATGCTCAAAATTCTCCAAGCCAGGCTTCAACAGTATGTGAACTGAGAATTACCAGATGGTCAAACTGGATTTAGAAAAGGCAGAGGAACCTGAGATCAAATTGCCAACATCTGTTGGATCATAGAAAAAGCAAGAGAGTTTCAGAAAAACATCTACTTCTGCTTTATTGACTACGCCAAAGCCTTTGACTCTGTGGATCAAAACAAACTGTGGAAAATTCTTCAAGAGATGGGAATACCAGACCACCTTAGCTGCCTTCTGAGAAATCTGCATGCAAGTCAAGAAGCAACAATTAGAACTAGACATGGAACAACAGACTGGTTCCAAATCAGGAAAAGGAGTATGTTAAAGCTGTATACTGTCATCTGCTTATTTAACTTATGTGCAGAGTATATCATGTGAAATGCTGGGCTGGATGAGGCACAAGCTGGAATCAAGATTGCTGGGAGAAATATCAATAACCTCAGATATGCAGTGATACCACCCTTATGGCAGAAATCGAAGAACTAAAGAGCCTCTTGATGAAAGTGAAAGAGGGGAGTGAAAAAGTTGGCTTAAAACTCAATAATCAGAAAACTAAAATCATGGCATCTGGTCCCATCACTTCATGGCAAATAGAAAGGGAAACATGGAAACAGAGGCTTTATTTTCTTGGGCTCCAAAATCACTGCAGATGGTGACTGCAGCCATGAAATTAAAAGGTGCTTGCTCCTTGGAAGAAAAGCTATGACCAATCTAGACAGCATATTTAAAAACAGATACGTTACTTTGCCAACAAAAGGGTCCATCTAGTCAAAGCTACGGTTTTTCCAGTGGTCATGTATGGATGTGAGAGTTGGACCAGAAAGAAAGCTGAGCACTGAAGAATTGATACTTTTGAACTGTGGTGTTGGAGAAGACTCTTGAGAGTCCCTTGGAGTGCAAGGAGATCCAGCCAGTCCATGCTACAGGAAATCAGTTCTGAATATTCATTGGAAGGACTGATGCTGAAGCTGAAACTCCAATACTTTGGCCACCTGATGAGAAGAACTGACTCACTGGAAAAGACCCTGATGCTGCAAAAAATTGAAGGCGGAAGGAGAAGGGGACAACAGAGGATGAGATGGTTGGATGGCATCACTGACTCGATGGACATGAGTTTGAGCAAGCTCTGGGAGCCGGTGATGGACAGGGAAGCCTGGTGTGCTGCAGTCCATGGGGTCGCGAATAGTCGGATATGACTGAGCGACTGAACTGAACTGAACTGAGAGTTTGAAGTAAAGGACAGGATTAAAGCTTATAGAGGTCCCCAGAGCCACTGAAGCAAGTGACTTTTACAGTGGGCATGCAGTCTCAACTGTTGGGGAATGAAAGAGCACCAGTCAGTTCAGATAAAGAAACTACAAGAGGGAGTAATGGCTAAAAATGTCATAGTTTCAAAAAATGGTTCTGATCTAAATTAATAGATTTTTAAAGTTTTTTTTTTTTTTTTTAAAGAAAGATTGTCTAAGGGTTAGTTTAAGCTCTTCATAGAGATAGCAAGTTGTAGTGTAGGGCCTGGGTTCATCCTACATTTATCATCTACTGTGTGGCCTTGGGCACATTATTGAGTCTTTGAGCTATAGTTTTATAGTTGGCACAATGAAGAGACTGAACTTTAACTCATAAACATGAAGGGAGATGTCATGTGTAAAAATTCATAATTCATTGTCTGGCCACCGCAAGTAGCTTAATAATTATGACTTGTATGACACGTTTTAATTTCATGTTGTCCCTCAAAGTGTCAACTTGGTGCCACTGTCAGAATTAAAATGTTGCAGTGACTCGTCTATTCTGGTAAATATTTTTCTCCTTTGCTTTGCAGAACGCACAGGTTTTTCCATCCGTCCTGTGGCTGGTTACTTATCACCAAGGGATTTCTTATCAGGTTTAGCCTTTCGTGTTTTTCACTGCACACAGTATGTGAGACACAGTTCAGATCCTCTCTACACTCCAGAACCGTAAGTACTCCTATTGCAGCATCCATCTATCAATATGGTACTTACCTCATGAGTTTTTTCTTTTTTCATGAAGATCAAGTGAATTAGCACATGTAAAGCATTTTGAATGATGCCTGGCCTGTAATACATGTTCTATGTGCTATACGTGTTAGCCATTATTATTACCAGTAGTAATTGACAATCTGTTAGGTACCAGGTACTGTTTTAAGCATAGGGGATGTAAGACTGAAAAAAATTCAAAGTTTCCTGCCTTCGTAGGGCTTATATTCCAATGGGAGATACAGACAATAAACAAACAAGTAAATATGAATAAAACAGAATATCAAGTGGTTATAAGTTCCATGGAGAAAAATAAAGTAGGGAAAAGGGACAGAGGGGTGTGTGTGTGTGGTGTGTGTTTCTATTTTGAAAAAGGTGATCAGACAAGGACTGTCTGAGAAGGTGACATTTGAACAGAGACCTGACTTGGGGGTGGAGGTGGGGCGACATGTGGATGTCTCTGTGTATTTGTGTGAATTTGTGTATATGTGTTTATGAATGCCCAAGGTTTTGAACCAAAGTAATTTCTTTACTATCATAATGTCCTTTGTGGTCCATTTCCAAAGCAATACCACATGATCAGTTTGAATAAAAGTAAGATCAGGTTTTTATTTGATTGAATGGTTGATCATGCATTTATGTTAAACGTCATAGTGTGAAAACTTGTACGTCTTTTCCAGAGATACCTGCCATGAACTCTTAGGTCATGTCCCCCTTTTGGCTGAACCTAGTTTTGCTCAGTTCTCCCAAGAAATTGGCCTGGCTTCTCTCGGAGCTTCAGAAGAGGCTGTTCAAAAACTGGCAACGGTATAAATCTGGAAATCAATTAGGATCATTAATTCTTAACTGGGGTGGGATGTGGGTATTTGTGTAGTTTAAAAGTACATATTCCAGATGAGCTTTAGAAAATTTGTCTCTGCTCATACTTAATTTAATTTGAATAATTTAAATAACATTAAAGGAAGACATTTAAGGTTTATCCAAAGAAGATGTGGTAGGCTACAGTCCATGGGGTCGCAAAGAGCCGGACATGACTGAGCGACTTCACTTCACTTCAAAGAAGACATGAGCTTAAAAAAAAAGGGCAGAGAAACAAAGAACACTAGAATACAACAATGTTAATAGTTTATATACTTTTCAGTAAAAATGATAGGTTCTCTAAAATGATGCTAAAAATATTTTTTAGCACTTTATAAGACATCATGCTGGAAATAGAAAGATGAGTAAAGTCTAATTCCCACCTTCAAGGAACTTAATGTGTTAGTCACCCAGTCATGTCCTACTCTTTGTCACCTCTTGAACTGTAGCCTGCTATGCTCCTCTGTCCATGAAATTCTCCAGGCAAGAATACTGGAGTGGGTAGCCATTTCCTCCTCCAGGGGATCTTCCTAACCCAGGGGTTGAACCTGGGTCTCCTGCATTGCAGGCAGATTCCTTACTGCAGAGCCACCTGGGACGCCCATAAAATGGTTTATTGTATTTTAAAATTAATTAGTCAATATTTAAATTTTGTCTCAGTTTACATTTGAATATGGTAAATATAGCTAGCTATATTCCACATAAACGGATGGTCCTTAGGGCCCTCAGTTATTTTTAAAAGTATTTAAGAATTCTGGGAACAAAAGTTTGAGAAGTCTGACTTGGTCAAGGCCAGACTGTAGAAATATTGTGAGCTAGTCTGAGGGTCTTGGATTTTATTCCAGGGTAATTTAGGTCAGTGACTAAGAGTCATAATTTGTTTTAAATTGAGCCATTCACGATGTGAAAGTAACACTGATGTCCTTTTGCAGTGCTACTTCTTCACTGTGGAGTTTGGTCTGTGCAAACAAGAGGGGCAGCTAAGAGTCTTTGGTGCCGGCTTACTTTCTTCCATCAGTGAACTCAAAGTAAGAGTTGTAAATATTTGCATGTGACCATGTTCACTTAATGTAATTAATACCACCTGAAATAGTTTCTGGATTTGAACAAGAGCTTACTGTGGAAAATACTTGGGGTGGCAGTAAGCATTATGTAAGAGGTATTTTTCTCTTTCATAAGTTTTCTGAATATAGATGCCTATTCAGAATTAGATATATCTTCTAAATAAAAAAGTATTTTAAAGCTTTTGCTTAACAAAGTCTTGCTGTTTCCTCTCTGTTTTTGGTATGCTAACAAGAACTTCAGTACTTTCTAGGGAATTCTTCAATGAGATTTATTATGTATCCAATAAAGGAATGAACCTCTGTTTGTTAGGTGGTGAGTGTGTATTCAGTACAGTCCTGCTCTCAAAGAGCCCACTACCTGCTGGAGGGTACAAGTCACGTACAGAAATAACTACTGTTGAGTAGAAAGCAGATGCCATATTAACAGTAAATAAATAAAGATCCTTGGGTACATCCTACATGGAGAAGAGTGTTATAAAGAGTGGGGCATTTATAGGGAATAGCGATTCATTTGTTTTGCTTTAGTATATTGTGGATTAGATAGAGATGTAGGAAATAAGTTTGGAATTGTAGACTGGGACCACTGCGTTAGTAATACATTCAGAGGTGTGCTGATTCTGGCAGTTGTGTGAAGAAGGTGATCTATGAAAATGGATAGTATTCTTTGATTCACAGACCCTTTGTCCTCTAGCACGCTCTTTCCGGACACGCCAAAGTAAAGCCCTTTGACCCCAAGATTACATGCAAACAGGAGTGCCTCATCACAACTTTTCAGGATGTCTACTTTGTATCTGAAAGCTTTGAAGATGCAAAGGAGAAGATGAGGTAAAGTATATCTTCCTCATGCCTTAATTTTCCTCTGCCTTAGATAGGCCCAGTAATGTAACAAGTCACAGAAGTAAGCAGCTAATAATTAGAAGTCTTCTAAGCCTTCTGCCTGGGACATATCTCCCTTCCACAGTAAATATTTAGGATGTGTTGTTTACAGTGATGTTCAGGGTTGCAAATATGAATCAGATACACTGAGAAATTGGTTACTTCCCATTCCTTCCTATCAGAGAGTTTATAATCTAATAGGGAAAACAAAATGTATGCAAATTACTATGTAACAAATTGGAAGCCTTAAAGAGATACAGATGAAACATTATTTTGCCTTTTATCTAGGAGCAATTCATTCCAGCCAGCGGAAAGGGAAACCTTAATGGCATTTGAAAAAGGACTTGAAGTATACATAGGGTTTAGATATGTTCAATGTTAGACTAATGGACAGTATTCCGTTTTCATCATTTCCCCCCTAGAAACTGATTGCCTCTTATTTGTTTTCTTATATAGAGAATTTACCAAAACAATCAAGCGTCCATTTGGAGTGAAGTATAATCCGTATACACGGAGTATTCAGATCTTGAAAGATACCAGGAGTATAACCAGCGCCATGAACGAGCTTCAGCATGAGCTTGATGTTGTCAGTGATGCCCTTGCTAAGGTCAGCAGGCAGCTGAGCATCTGACAGTTACCGGTCCTAATCCCGAAAGCATCTGAGCACCAATTCGGAGGCCTGTGGGCCAACTGTGGCTTTGCTTGAAGAGCTGATTGTGGAGGGATAGCAGCCAAACAACATTCTCTACTCCCATTCTTTAAGGGAGCATTACTCTTTGAAAACGTGTACCCAGATACCCCGAGCACACATCTAGATATTTTAGCCACTACTTATTTTTTTTCTTTTGGTAACAGCTTTTGGAAGTATAATTCACATACTATACAATTCACTGACCATCCCAGTTTGTATAGAGAATTTGCTTGACCCAATGGATAGATCTGTTCTTAGCTTGATTTTATTTTCCCCAGTTCTTCTTGAGTAAAATGATGATCATTTAAAATACCTTGATGGTTATTATGGAGCTAATGCATATGTTATCTAAGATCCTCTTATTTCTACAGTATCTTACTTATCATCAAATTTGGGCCAAGCTTAGTTGCATTCACATGCCTCAATTTAATAGGAAACCAACTCTCCACTGCTAGCCTGAGCAAAAGCAGAGAGAACTTTGCATATGAAATATGCCTAATAAAGAGTAGATAGTCTAATTTTAAGTGTAATGTCTTATAGGGAAATAAGAGTATCTAAATCTAGAAAGGCTGATTGGGACGTAATCATTAGGAATATGTGACTTTATTTTGTAGGCACTAGGGAGTCCCTGCTGAGTGCCCATCCTCCTTGGGGATGGTCTTTTCTTTCTATGGCGCTGTGTATGTTTCACACGATCTGCCCTACTGAGGAGGCCAAAGGGAACTTAGTGGGAATGCCACTTGCAAGGACCTGAACTCAGACATGCAGCCCCAGAGAATGTCCTCAGGTTAGCACGAGACAGTGTTGTTAGAGGGAGAGTTAAAACTGAGACAGAGGAGAGACATACCAAGTTAAAGTTGGAAAGCAGTGCCAAGCACTTTATCTCCAAGGTGTAAGGGGAGACCATAAATAGGAAGGCCAGGCCTGAGGGCATAGGGCGGGGAAACGGGGAAGAAGATGGTGTAAGAAACGTCAGGAAGGGCATTTTAGGCCTGACGCTGAAACAGTGACGGTAGCTAGCACCGGCTTCTATGTGGTGTCAGCGGTGTAGTACAAGGAGCAGGCCTGGTATTGACGGGTGACTCTGGAGTCCACAGGACAGGCTTTTATTTCTTCAGTTTGCTCCCTTTCTCCCCCTACCCGCTAAAAGAAGACTTTCCTCACGTTTCTGCTTTTGGCCCTCTTTTCTCTCTGCCTTCTGTTCATGGAGATGTCATCCATGTCCATAACTTCAATTCTTATTCCATACATCTCCCATATTTGCAATTCTAACTCTTAACACCTGTCTTGAGTTTTTGCCTTTTAAATCCAACTGCCTACTAGATGTTGCCATCTAATGCCCCATAAATTAGGCCAATGTTGTGTAACTTCTTGTCACACTATTTACATAGAATGAAATGGGGTTGTGCAAAATGGCAGCCCTGCCAAGAATTTTAAACTCTGTAGGTCCAAAAAGGAACTCAGAATCACCTGAGTATCGTGCTCCATCAGTTTCCTCTCCCACTGATCTCATTTCTAGTAATGGTGAATGAAACTGAAACTGTTAGTCACTCAGTCATGTTTGACTCTTTGTGACGCCATGGACTGTAGACCACCAGACTTCTCTGTCCATGGGATTCTCCAGGCAAAAATACTGCAGTGGGTAGCCATTCCCTTCTCCAGGGGATCTTCCCAACCCCAGGATCGAACCTGAGTCTCCTGCATTGCAGGCAGATTCTTTACTGTCTGAGCCACCAGGGGAGCCAGGGTCATATTTTCAGCCAATTTTCTGTTCTTAATCAGCTACTTTAAAAACTGGGTCCTTAATTTGTTTCACATTAATAGTCAAATTGTATACCATTTAACTTTTTTTTTCAACAGATCACTAGATATTTTAATCCTTTTTAGGCCTCAAAGGATAATTTTAAAACTCTTAAAATTTATTTCATTTTATATTATACAAGGAAGTAGAATTAGGAAGAGTAATTTATGCTACTTCAGATTTTTACATTACCTGTAAATTTTAATAGCTGATCAACTGTTAAATATACCTTTGATAGTACTAGATCTACGTCAGTTAATCTGAAACCATTTGAAATATTGGTTAGGTAGTTTATAGTATTTGGTTGCAAGGAAATCTATGAAGCAAACCATGAAAGATAGCAAATAACAACAAATTATGCATACTGTGTCTGGTTATTTTCATACAACCTTGATTATGGTAAAGAATCATAGTTATTGAATTTTTAAATGATGGTATTTCAAATCACTCTATGATTAAAACACACTAAAGTAAATGTTAAAGACACAACAATTATAATTCACATCTTCAGAATAATGGAAATATTTTATGATTGATTTCAGATCTTCTAACCTCTGAATTTGTGATATTTGGTAAATGAGGAATCCTTAGAGTCTTAGAGGTTTCATGCATTTTAAATATATTTCTTCAAAGCCTCAAGGGGTATGTTAATACTTACTCAAATATCAGAATAGATTTGAACCAAAAGTGTGGTTCATAATTCTTAATCAGTGAGTTATTACTCAGAGACATAGATGGTACTTTCGTGACTTTTTGAAGAACACTTCAAAATCTGGCTGTGAGAATGCCTACATTTCTTAATCTGCCCATTTTGTCATTTGGAGTTATACAGTGGTAATGACACACCAAAGTGTGTCTAAACTGAAAGAGAAAAATCCTGGAATTACTAGAGCAACATGTAAGGAGTTCATATACTAATCTCTAGGAAATGTATAAAGACACTGTGGTCTTATTTCAGTCTTGTCTTTATTTTACAATGTGATACACATTTATGATTTGCAAGTTTGTTAGTCATTTGGATAATAAAAGGACACAAAATTTATGTTTTCAATAAGCATATATTTTTTGTCAAATGTATGTTAAAAATGGATTTAAATGTATATTAGCAATTTTATTAGTTTCAAAAATCTGTAACATCCTTATTCTTTTTAAAAAAACCTATGAATATGTGATATAAGTGAAGTCAAATACACCTGGAAAACCTAGTAACCACTTTTTGGAATTCTTGATAAAGTTTCAGTCTCATGTTTCTCATTTGTTAAGTGGGTTAGATGTACTTTCCTGGGTTATTGTAAGAATTACACTGTGAGAGGACTCTGTAAAAATAAACTTATTAGCCATATGTAAAGAATCATTGGAGCTTCTCAAGTGGCTCAGTGGTAAAGAATCAGTCTACCAATGCAGGGGACACGGGTTTGATCCCTGGTTCATGAAGATCCCCGAAGAAGGAAATGGCAACTCACTCCAGTGAGAACTCCATGGACAGAGGAGCCTGGCATGCTGTACTCCTTGGGGTCACAAAAGAGTCAGACCTGACTTAGCCACTGAACAACAGCAAAGAATCATTAATCTCCTTATCAGAACGCCTTCATAGCTTCTGGCTGATTTTATCTTCCTCCAGAAGGAATTAACTTTTGCTTGAGCAGGCAGTGTATAATGGCAGGGGGTGCTCATCTTAGTCTGGGGGGGAACTAAGTCAACTTGATGATATGTTTCAGTCTTTGTTTCTGCTGCTGCTAAGTCACGTCAGTCGTGTCCGACTCTTGCGACCCCACAGACGGCAGCCCACCAGGCTCCTCCATCCCTGGGGTTCTCCAGGCAAGGAGGACTGGTCTATCTATCTCCAGGTCACCTCTACTCTTGGGGTGCGGCTCTTTGGGATTCTCAAAGGAGAGCTTTGAGTATGTACCAGGGCTTCTCCTGGGGGATCCTGCACTTCTGCTCGCCTCTGCTTTACTCTTATTCCTCCTGATCACATAAAATTGCTAAAAGCACTGTTCATTTTCTCGGCTTCTCAGCTGCTGCTTTCAGCCCAGCTCCTTCTTTTTTTTCTTTCAGCCCAACTTCTTAGCCTCCAAGTCACTGCTTGCTAATTAGCAAATGCTTCAAGCAGAAAAGTAGTGCCAAATGAAATCTCTCAGCTTTTAGATCCTGGCCCTCCAAGTTCTGGCTGCTTGTTCATAGCCCTCCAATGACTTAAAACAAATTTAAAAAATATTTTCCCATCTTTTCTAATTGTTTTTGGTGAGAGAACTGATCTGTAGCTAGCTAATCTGCCTATGTTAAAAGCAGAAATCTGACCTTGGAGTAAATCATTTAATTTCTTTGAGCCTCAGTTTTCTCATCTATAAAATAATGATTCCAACAGTAGTTATTATACCAGTAAAATTGAGAGGATCAAATAAGATAATCCAAAAGAAAAAACTTCCTAACCTGTATAGTATACAGATATATTCCATATACTCAGAAAACTTCATATTTTCCTCATATGGGGAGACAAGGCACCTGAAAGTGTTACCAACAAATAATTCAAATATAGCCTCATTCAATAACTCATCAAATAATTTGTATCTAGCTTCATTGCTCAAACTCATGTCTGACTCGATGGACATAGTTTGAGCAAGCTTGGGGAGTTGGTGACAGACAGGGAAGCCTGGCATGCTGCAGTCAATGGGGTCGCAAAGAGTTGGACACGACTGAGTGACTGAACTGAACTGAGCTTCATTCAAGAACTGAAACTCAACCAAGTTGCTAATGGGAAGAGCTAGTCAGTGGTATGTACATAGCTCAAATATTGATAGTAGCTTCACTGCAACGCTTTCAAGAAATTATATTAAGTGATATAACATAATAATATAAGTTAGTTAAAGTACTGATGCAAGTACATTCAAGGGATGAAACTGGGTAACAACTGTATTCTTCCAGATCCTCTCACTATGAAAACTGACTAGGTTGTTCCTTCATGTGCCCCTTTGAATGAAATCTCGGGTCCCTGTCTTGAATTTTCTGCTCACTTTAAGTCCTTTGCTTCTAAGCTCTTTCTCTCATTTCAGTATTTAAAAATCCAAGTGTTGTGAAAAAGTTCAAAACATTAAATTTTAAGATTAAAGTTTTTCCTCTCTTCTAGAACTGAGAAAGG